GGATAATGAACTTCCCACTAACGGCTGCATCTGCCAACAAGACACGAAGGGTAGGGGGTTTGGCAATGGGAGCAAAGATCTCATTGAAGTCCCGCTTCTCCTTCTGCATAAACCCCTTAGCCACCAACCTACTCTTGTAGATGGTGACCTGCCCCTTGTCGTCAGTCTTGATCCTTAGCACCCACTTGCATTGTACCGCTTTCTTTCCTTCAGGAAGCACCACTAGTTCCCAAGTCCCATTCTCCAGCAGGCTCTGGTACTCAGCATCCCTGGAAGCTAGCCATTTGTCCCTATATGGTCCAGCTAATGCCTCCTCCATGCTAGCTGGTTCCTCTGGTGCAGGGGCAAGAAAACAGTACGCAGGTTGATCCTCCTCATCCGGGTCATAGCCATGCGGTAGAATCAGCAATGCCTCCTCGGTCCCAAGCTGCTGCTCCGCTACATCAGCTCCTGCAGTCAGCTTTTTAGTAGCCATACGTGTACGTCCTGGCCTGGAGACGGGTGTCTCCCATCCCTTCATAATAACACCCTTCGGCTTCTTAGTTTTCCCCTGCTGCTGCTCTCCTCCCTCGGATCCAGCAGCTCCACTAGTGCTACCGCTAATCTCCACACCATCACCTCCACCAGCAGGTGCCTCCTGCACCTTCTCTTTATCACCACCCTCTGCAGCTGCCTCCTCTCCCTCCTCCCACACACTAGGAGTCAGGTCCAGCTGCATGGTAATCTGCTCCATCTGCTGGGACACCCTGGCCTCCGGCTGTTTCTCCCAGCTCCCATACATCATGCCCTCAACAAACTTCACATCCCTGCTGTCAAACAACACACCCTTGGAAGGCTCCCACAGCAGCCATCCCTTGCTTTCAGCTGCCAGCCCCAAATGCACACACCAGATTGCACTCGCCCCCAACTTACTGCGGTAGGTCTTGGGAACGTGGGCGACTGCCATGCAACCGAACACCCTCAGCATGTCCACCGGCGGCTTCCTCCCAAGCCACCTCTCCAACGGCACCCACGAGTCATCCCCAACCTTTGTGAGTACCCTGTTCCTAGCGACGGTAGCGTGCCGAACAGCATGGGGCCACATCAAGTTGCCCAGCCCAGATTCTATGAGCAGCGCCCTAGCTGTCTCCAGAATTGTCCGGTTCGCCCGTTCTGCTACACCGTTGGACTGTGGGGTGTAAGCCGTGGTCAGCTCCCTCTGGATGCCCTGCTTCTTGAGCCAGGCTGTCATCTCAGCTCCAAGGAACTCACCACCCCGATCTGTCCTAATCCGCTTCACCACACACTCCGCTTGCTTCTCCACGAACGGCAGCCAATCGTCCCGAATCGTGGAGGCGGCGTGATCTTTCTGCTTCAGCGGATACGCCCACATTAGCCTGCTCCAGTCATCCACTATGGTTAGGAAGTACCGCTCCCCCTTGTGCCCTTGCACCGGCAGCGGCCCCACCAAGTCCATGTGGACCAGCTCCAACGGCTTTTTGCTCCTGCCAGCCACACTATGGAAGGGGAAACGGGTGAACTTTGAAAGGAGGCAAATTTCACAGTTATCATCGGGTGGTTGTCCGTTCAGCTTTAAGCCCTTAACGGCTCCATCCTTCTCCAGCTGCTTCAGCAAAGGCATTGCCACATGCCCCAAACGTCGGTGTGCAGTTGCCCAATCTGTCTCCCCAGATCTGGCCGACACTTTCACACCAACCCCTCCAACGGCGTTGCACTCCCCCTGGGATGCAGACCCCTCTCCAGCCTGCCCCCCACCGTGCCACGCCAGCGCCGGCAGCTGCCACATAGATCTGTACACGTCCTTGCTCTCGTGCAGATCCCAAAGCACCCGATTGCCCAGCTTCCCCTTATAAGTGCGAGCCCCATCCGTGTTGGTGTTCACCCCAGCCTTGCCAAGCTTACGGAGGGAGATGAGGTTGGCCTTCAGGTCGGGGACGAGGAGAACGTCGTGCAGCACCACCGGCTTGCCATCCGCTCCCTTAAATGCAGCTCGTCCCGCACCAGCCACCTTCAACATGTGTCCAGAGGCAGAGCACACCTCATTAATCGGTGCAGCGCGTACGTCGTCCAGCAGGTCCTTGCGCGGCGTCATTGTCCAAGCAGCGCCTGTGTCCAACACCCAATAGTCCAGGGGGTGCAGCTCTGCTCCAGCCTTAGCAGATGCGTCTCCTTGCTCCCCCTTGTCTCCCATATGGAAGAATTGGCCCGCGGTGCGCTCCTTCTTCTTCTCCGCACCGCCGTTGCCCTTCGGGTTGTTGTCGGACGAATCAGCGACCATGTTGGCGCCGTTTTTCTGGTTCCTCCGCGCGCCGCCATCCTGGTGACGATTCTGGGGGGTCCATCCATCGGGTTTCTTATAGCACAAAAACCAGGGGTGCCCTTCCTTCTCACAATACCAGCAACTCCCTTTCATTTTGCCACCAGCACCCGACTTGCCCCCACGTCCAGATTTCGCACCGCGACCCCAACCGGTACCTCCTTGTTGGTCGTTGGAGTCGTCGTCTTTCTTTGCACCGCGTCCAGCACCACCGAAGCCACGTCCTTTGCCACGTCGGCTCCCTTGCATCCCGTAGCCGCTGCTGCCGTCGTCTCCACCCCTCAGTTGGCGGCGACGGAAGTCCTCCTCCAGAATCTTCGTCCGCACCCACTCGAGCGTCCACAAGCTCTGGTTCTGCGGCAGGCTCAATCCGCTCGTAAATTGAAGCCACGATTCCGGCAGCAGCGAGAGCATCTTCAAGCACTTTGTTTGCTCCGGGTAGGTGATTCCTGCGGTCGCCAACTTCGCGTAGAGGTCGCGCAATTTGTCCAGGACAGGTTGCACCGGCTCTCCCTCGCTCAGGCGCAACGCGGACAGCTCCCTCTCCAGCATCAATGTTGCAACAACGGAGGTCGGGGCGTGCAGCTCCTTCAACACCGTCCACGCCTTCGGACCGCACTCAACCTCCGGCAGCAGGTGCATGACGTGGTGACGCTGGTTCAGCTCCAAACTCTGCGACATCAAGTAGTAGCCAGCCGAGGCGCGCTCGTCCCAATCTTCCTGAAGGGCGGGGTCACTCGGTCTAGGCTCCTCCCCAATCATTAGTTTCAGCAATCCGATTTGACGGAAATAAAGTTGCATTTTCCAGGCCCAATCATCATAGCCCTCACCATTGAACTTCTCGACGGTGAAGTTTTTCAGCACCTCCTTGATCAGCGAGCCCTGGCTTGTTCGCGCTCCCCTTGGCGCAGAAACACCAGAATCATGGCTGCCGCTACGATCATGGGCTGAAGATTCACCAGCTACCGCCGAGGTGTTGCCCGCCATAGCTACCTATATCGAGGATCACTATAACGCAGCTCTGATACCAGCTTGTTGGTGTAAGGGCCTAATAAACTCAAGCTATTAAGACTTTATCAAACTTAAAACCTCTCCTCGGGGTCACCTCCAAGGGTCCTTGGGTGCCTGGTACAAGACCAGCCCCTATCCTCGGGTCCGAGTTTGTAGAGAGAGGGATCAAGAGGGACTTAGTCAAAACAGCAAGAGTACCTTGAACGTCGCGCAGCGTATCGTGCAGACCGTCGATCGGATTAAGCTGAGAATTTCCTATATCGAAGCTCACTCTAAGAGCTTAAAAATAAGCCAAGTTGCCTCGCGAAAAGTTCTGCCATTACGAAGTTATGGCTCGGACAGCGTTAGCCTAGCGTTGGAGTGCTAGCGTACTAGCGTTGACTCGGGTAGCATTCCGCCGTCGCACCGCGTAGACAAGAAATTCCAGCAAGGAAGGAATTCGCTTGAATCAATTTCACTATATCCAGGTACAAACAGAGAAGGAATAAATAGTTCTAGCTAGCAAGGACCTTGGGAATGAACCTGAGAACAACCAGGGATCATCCCAAATAATTCCAAGCAACAGAACCAACCTGGCTGGACAAAACAGCAGGTGGTAGGTTGGTAAACAACCTCTGGTTCTGTTTTTCCAACCTGGGAAAACAACAACCAGGTTCAGGTCCTAAAAACAGAACCTGTTTTGTCTTTGCCCAACCAGCCAAATGCTGGTTCCGCTGGTTTCCCCTGGCCCTGTAGCATGCAGATACAGACAAACAACATCCAACCTTCACCTAAATTGTACCCCTATAGTGCCTGCCCTGCTACACTATAGTCAACCAAACAAAACAGTACAATTTCGAGTTGGATAGAACTGAATCTGCGCAATCATGTAAGTTGAACCGCAAAGCTTCCATCTTGGGTTCCTTTGCGAGCTCGTCCTTTCTGCTTCTACTGTTCATAGCGCGTACAATGTTATGCCGAAGCGCACATTTTGCGAGTACCTGCAAATGCTTCAAGCGAAAATTGCGAAAGCAAACAAACACACAAACATACCATTCACACGCAAATGCATTCGCACACGCATACTCGTACAAACAGACGGCAGGATGTCGTGCAATGTGAATTTGCACCCAACACGAACAGGCAACGCAGGACGAGACGCAGGCTCACGACGCTCAGCAAGACCTCCAGTAGGACCAGTGTAGGGAGAAGGAGCAGGTAGGGGGCAGGCGGGCTGTAACTGTGACTGCGACTGGACAGGCTGTGGACACTCTAAGGGAGGAGAAGGACCAGTAGAGGGTGGGAGACCAAGAACCTGCTCAAGGAGCGGAACGAAGTACGGCCTCGGCCACGCAGCGCCTCCAGAACCAGTACCCCCAAGCGGCAGCACCAGCGCTAGCAGCACCTCCAGCTCCAACAGCGCCAACTCCAGCACCCTCAGAAGCACCACCACCAGCAGAACCACCAGCGCCAACACCCCCAGCAGCTCCAGCTCCAGCAGCACCAACTCCAGCAGGACCGTCAGCTCCAGTACCGCCAGCAGCTCCAGCAGTACCTGACTCGATGCAGCTACGTGACCAGACTCAGTAGTTAGTGTGTACAGGCTCGACCCCGGCCGATGGGTAAACATGGCCAAGTATCGGCCCGTCCGAGCACACGTGCAGTGGGTCACCCGCTGACTCGCAGGAGTGAACTAGTCAAACCCCCTATCCTGTAGATCAGCTCCACTCACCAAGTTCGTAGAGAACGAGGGGAGGTAGAGACCTGACAGGGTGCCAGAGGGGGCTGCCGGACACGGTAAGACAGTGGAGAAGTGGGCAAGGACAGGACCCCCAGAGGGGTTCGCCAGGGAGACTACAACCGGCCGACTAAGCGGCGTAAGCGTGGTACGGTCTCGAAAGAAGGAGCGGGAAGCACCCGAGTCAAGGGTGAAGGTGTGTAAGGCCTGAGCCGACGTGGTACCTGAGAGGGCAGACTCACCAGCACCTGGGGCAGCAGACGCACTAGGACCTAGAGCAGCAGCCTCACCAGGACCTAGAGCAGCAGCCTCAATGCCCGGGTCAGGCGGAACACACAGGTAACAGTCACCCTCATTACTATTAGACACAGCATATATGGTAGCAAGAATAGCATCATAATCAAGATCAAAGATAGCAACCCCCGCCCTAGACAGCTCTCCCTAGCGAGGGATCTCAGTGGCGTCAGGGAACTGGTGACGCCACGCGTCCGTCAAGCGGCCAAAGCAGCGCTGGGTGGAGTGCGGGCCCCCGCACTGCTCACCAGCGTGGTCGCCGGTACGGAGGACGTAGGTGCAGGGACCAGTACCCCCACCTCGCTGACGCCCAGCGTACCACTCACGAAGCTGCTGGGGGGACAGGGTCTTAGGACTGCGCTGCTGCTGCTGGCGCGGACCACCACTGGACCCACTCTTCTGCGCAGAGCCGCGACCAGCTCCACCGCTGCCGCCGCCGCCTCCGCCACCTCCGCTCCCTCCGCCACCGCCGCCGCCTCCTCCGCCTCCACTGCTGCCACCGACACCTCCTCCCCCGCCACCACTCTCACCACCACCTCCACCCCCTCCACTGCCTCCACCACCACCTCCACCGCCCCCGCCAGCCCCTCCAGCGCCCTTGCCCCCCTTGCCCTTGCCGGTGCGGCGTCTCCCGCTAGGGGCAGACGCAGCGCCGACCGACTCAAAACCAACGAGGTCGGCCGCAGCAGCAGAAGCAAAAGAGGGCAAGAGGGGGGAAGGGGAACAAACCTTAAAGACGGGGGTGCGAGGGTCACCACAAGAGGCTCCTACAGCGACTATGCTCTTCTTTGCTGCTAGGAGGCGCTCCTCGAGGAGGTCAACGGTGAGTGTGGTGGGGCAAACTGAGAGGAAGTGGTCCTTGACTAAGCGAAGGGAGTCAGGGAGCCGGGTGACTATGTAGTAGAGGGTGATGTACATGGGGGGGGGGGGGATTCTTTGCACAGTACTCAGTAGGAAGTGCAGCGCGGTAGCGAGTGTCACTAGTGCGAAGGTGCGTAATGAGGTCAGTGACTGTGGGAAAGGCAGCAAGGTCAGGGAACAGGTACGGCAGCATGAGGCGGCTAAGAGCAGCAGTGGCAGGGGAAGAGTAGCGTGCAACTACAGCGTCGTACAAGGTCTTAGCACTCTTGTACTGACTAAAGTGCGTACGCTCAGTGGTCAGTAAGTGGCGACGCACAGCAAGACGGGCAGCAGCATTGCGTGTGGCCCACTGTGAGCGAACAGTGCTGTCAGCATCATTAGGCGGGGCAGGAGAGGCACCAGAGGTGAGATCGAAAAGGGAGAGTCCGTCTGCCCTATCGCACAGTAGGAAAAGTTGCAGGTCATCGACCTTGACCTCGAAGTCAACAGCAGGACCCTCAGCATCAAAGGTAAGGACACTGGGGGTAGCCATAACAGCAGTGGTCTAGCAGGGAGGGCTCTCACCAGTCCGGGTGGGTAGGGCCGGGGCGCGCCGGGAGGAGCAAGGCTGCAACGGCGGTGGCAGCGGCTCGGCAGTGGCAGTGGCAGCTCGACGGCAGCTGCTCGGCGGCTTGGCTGCTGGGCGGCTCGGAGGCTCGGAGGTGAGATCGAAAAGGGAGAGTCCGTCTGCCCTATCGCACTGTAGGAAAAGTTGCAGGTCATCGACCTTGACCTCGAAGTCAACAGCAGGACCCTCAGCATCAAAGGCAAGGACACTGGGGGTAGCCATAACAGCAGTGGTCTAGCAGGGAGGGCTCTCACCAGTCCGGGTGGGTAGGGCCGGGGCGCGCCGGGAGGAGCAAGGCTGCAACGGCGGTGGCAGCGGCTCGGCAGTGGCAGTGGCAGCTCGACGGCAGCTGCTCGGCGGCTTGGCTGCTGGGCGGCTCGGAGGCTCGGCGGCTCGGCTCCTGGGCGGCTCGGCGGCTCGGCTGTTGGGGTCCTCGGCGGCTCGGGTGCTGTGCGGCTCGGCGGCTCGGCTGCTGGGCGGCTCGACGGTGAAGGGGCCGTGAAGGGCGGCGACGGGGCCGGCAAAGGCGGCGACGGGGCCGTGAAAGGGCGGCGATGGGGCTTCTAGGGGCGGCGATGGGGCCGCGAAGAGCGGCGACGGGGCCGCTAGGGGCGGCGACGGGGCCGCAAAGGGCGGCGAGGTGGCCACGAAGGGCGGCGACGGGGCCTCCAGGGGTGGCGACGGGGCCGCTAGGGGCGGCGACGGGGCCGCGAAGAGCGGCGACGGGGCTGCTAGGGGCGGCGAGGTGGCCGCGAAGGGCGGCGACGGGGCCTCCAGGGGCGGCGACGGGGCCGCTAGGGGCGGCGACGGGGCCGCAAAGGGGCTGCAAGGGGCCTAGAGAAGCGGCGACGAGGCCTAGAGGGGCGGCGACGAGGCCGCGAAGGGCCGTAAGGGGCCTAGAGAAGCAGCGACGGGGCCGCTAGGGGCGGCGACGGGGCCGCGAAGGGGCCGCGAGGGGCCTAGAGGGGCGGCGACGGGGCCGCGAAGGGGCCGTGAGGGGCCTAGAGGGGCGGCAACGGGGCCGCAAAGGACGGCGACGGGGCCGCTAAGGGTGGCGCGAGGGGCAGTGAGAGGGGTCGCTAAGGGAGCGCGATGTGAGGGCGGCCTACGGGGCGCGCCTCGGGTAGGAAAAAAAAATCATGTTCAGTGGTGGGCCCTGAGAAGCGTTCCCACAAGGGAACCTGCTCTATACCATGTGAAGAATGAGGAATGAATGAACTAGCAAGCAGGTGGGTACAAGTAGGAAAACCTAGAAGTGTTGTACCCCATATTGTCTACCCCATTACAGCCTACACAGACTATAGCATAAGAGTTTGACACTCTGTTCGACCACCACTGCCTCTGGTCGACCACTAGGTGCCTTTGGTCGACCACAGGTCTTGTCGAGCTACCCTCTGGTCCGTCGACCAGAACTGTCAGTGGTTGTGACCGAGCTCCGTCTTGCTTACGTGGCCTCTCGGGCCAACACTGCTGATATCTTTACCAAGGCACTTCCGCCTTGTGATCATTAGCGTTTCTGTACTGTTCTAGGTCTTGTGCCTACCTTGCCTTACTTGCTCACTTTTTGACTTTGCTTGTACTGTGATCTATATATCTATACCTGCATGCTTTCACTTGCTAGGTTTTGATCACTGTCCTGTTTGTTCTATGCTATATAACTATGCATGTGAACTGGCCTTTTGGCCGTCTGCTTGCGCTCAGAATGCGTGGTGACATTGTGATCCACCCTGAACTTGCTTTGCTTTTCTTGACTGGTCTTGTGACCCCCCTTTGCTCTCCCCCACTTTGGGGTGTGTCAAACTTATACTCTATAGTTTGTTAAGGCTGTAGTGGGGTAGTTACTATGGGGTACATTAAGTTTAGGTTTTCCCACTTGTACTCACCACTTTTCTAGTGCACACACACTTGTTGATTCTGACATTACGTGCCAGAAGCAATTCACCTGTCAGCTTCAAAGTACGCGGAGCAACTGGGCGAGCGATTCAAAATTTCACCCGCACCACTCTCGACCCCCTACTATTCGCCTAGCACCACTAGAAACCAGACAACAAACTCATGTCGCACATAGGACTCCAATTCTACCAGCAGCAAGAGGGCTACATGCAGTTTGCCTTCGTCATCTGCCGACCCTACCTTTCATACATCTCCATCCAACCGGCATAGTACTCACGCAAACTAGAAATTCAACCTCACTGGGTTCGTGAACGCAGATCACGCCGCTAACCCTGCCAATCGACGATCACGAATGAGCTTTGTCTTCCGCCTGGAGCCAACAGGCCCAATCTCCTGGAATTCCCAAAATCAGGAATGGTTTGCCCTGTTGTCAGCCGAAGCAGAGTGTATCGCCGCAACTACTACAGTTCGCGAAGGACTCTATCTGCTGGAGCTTCTTTGGGAGGCGAAAATCCCAACATCGTTACTACGAGAACCGGAGCATGATCACAGGATCGCAAACAAGCCAGGCTTCGTGAACTAACGAAGCACACCGCGCTGCGATACTTTTCCTTGAAGGACGAAATTGACCAGGGCAAGGTTGACCTGACATACTGCCCTACCACTGAGATGGCAGCCGAATTTCTCACCAAGCGACTGCCACGTCAGCAGTACCAGCACTGCCCCAACCTCACCAAACTGTTGGTGTAAGGGCCTAATAAACTCAAGCTATTAAGACTTTATCAAACTTAAAACCTCTCCTCGGGGTCACCTCCAAGGGTCCTTGGGTGCCTGGTACAAGACCAGCCCCTATCCTCGGGTCCGAGTTTGTAGAGAGAGGGATCAAGAGGGACTTAGTCAAAACAGCAAGAGTACCTTGAACGTCGCGCAGCGTATCGTGCAGACCGTCGATCGGATTAAGCTGAGAATTTCCTATATCGAAGCTCACTCTAAGAGCTTAAAAATAAGCCAAGTTGCCTCGCGAAAAGTTCTGCCATTACGAAGTTATGGCTCGGACAGCGTTAGCCTAGCGTTGGAGTGCTAGCGTACTAGCGTTGACTCGGGTAGCATTCCGCCGTCGCACCGCGTAGACAAGAAATTCCAGCAAGGAAGGAATTCGCTTGAATCAGTTTCACTATATTCAGGTACAAACAGAGAAGGAATAAATAGCTCTAGCTAGCAAGGACCTTGGGAATCAACCTGGGAACAACCAGGGATGATCCCAAATAATTCCAAGCAACAGAACCAACATGGCTGGACAAAATAGCAGGTGATAGGTTGGTGAACAACCTCTGGTTCTGTTTTTCCAACCTGGGAAAACAACAACCAGGTTCAGGTCCTAAAAACAGAACCTGTTTTGTCTTTGCCCAACCAGCCAAATGCTGGTTCCGCTGGTTTCCCCTGGCCCTGTAGCATGCAGATACAGACAAACAACATCCAACCTTCACCTAAATTGTACCCCTATAGTGCCTGCCCTGCTACACTATAGTCAACCAAACAAAACAGTACAATTTCGAGTTGGATAGAACTGAATCTGCGCAATCAAGTAAGTTGAACCGCAAAGCTTCCATCTTGGGTTCCTTTGCGAGCTCGTCCTTTCTGCTTGTACTGTTCATAGCGCGTACAATGTTATGCCGAAGCGCACATTTTGCGAGTACCTGCAAATGCTTCAAGCGAAAATTGCGAAAGCAAGCAAACAGACAAACATACCATTCACACGCAAATGCATTCGCACACGCATACTCGTACAAACAGACGGCAGGATGTCGTGCAATGTCAATTTGCACCCAACACACTCCCCCTCAGCCTGCCGGCTGCATCCCCATCATTCCATACTAGTTCATGCTCATTCCACTCATGCGCACACAACGCCAATGAGGCTCATCCGCAAGCCTCTTGGTGAGGAAGTCTGCTGGCTGCTGGTGAGTCTTGATGTAGATCGGATTCACCGTCCCCCTCTTCACCTCCTTACGCAGCCAGTGCCACTTGATACGCATGTGCTTATTCAGCCCATGAAGCACAGCGTTCCTGGCCATCCCAAGAGCTCCCTTGCTATCACAAAACAGCGGCGTAGCAACCTTTTGCTCCTGGCCAATCTCCTCCAACAGCCTCCTCAGCCAAATCACCTCCTTCACCCCATGGAACATCGCCATGTACTCTGATTCCACGGAAGAGAGTGCTGTCTCCGTCTGCTTCTTTGACCTCCAACTAACCGGTCCTCCCCCAACTACGCAGATGTATCCTCCCACAGATGAGGAATCCTCCTTCTCAGAGGCCCACGTAGCATCAGTAAAGCAAGTAAGAAAAAAGCTTGCCTTCTCCAAGCCTCTCCCCCTTCTCTTTCAGCACCTCAACCCCTTTCTGCTTCACCTGTGCAGATGCGGAGTATTGAACTCCAATGCTTGGGTGAGAGTTCAGGTACTTCACTACACGCTCAGCTGCATCCACCTGCTCCTCTGATGGATTCTGCACTACCCTAGCCAGCTGCCCAACCGAGAAAGAGATGTCGGGTCTCGTGTGAACTGCTGCATACAAGAGGCTGCCCACCAAGGACTGAAATTGCTGCTGCTCCTCGGCTTCAACCCCTTCATCCTCTGCAGCTTTCACAAGCTTGAATTCTGCTGGCAGGGGAGTTGCAACCTTGCGCTCATTCTCAATTTTGTACTTCTCCCCAAGCTCCTTGATGAACTTCTCCTGGTGCAGCTTCAACCACCTGTGATCCAGATCCCTCTCTACGTGCATCCCGAGGTAGTACTTTACCTCCCCAAGGTTCTTGCACTTGAAGTTCTCCATCAGCTGCTGCTGCACCTTCTGGATCTCCTTCATGCTGCTGCTAAAGAGAAGAATGTCGTCCACATAGACCAGAAACAGCACCAGCTTCTCCCCCTCCCCCTTGAGAAAGAGGCTCTCATCACAGCTGCTGGTCCTGAATCCCATCTCCTCTAAAACAGCTGCCAACTTCTGGTACCAGCAGCGTGGCGCCTGCTTCAAGC